CACACACACACACACACACACACACACACACACACACACACACATCCCTTTCTGGCAAAATATGTCTAAGAAAGGCAAAAAAATGGCCATTTAGTGACATTCTGTTGCATACAAACTTGTTAAGAACCACTGTCCCGTCACTTGCTATGAAACTTTTTCAATAGAAGCTATCTGTGGCCAGCTCTGTAAATTCTTTTTGCTATAATACCCTATTTTTCTTGATATAATTTTTTTTTCAGGTTGTCAATGTGCCCAGCCCCAGGAGATGAACCATACTTGGTATAATCCAAAAATGATTTTCTCATTCCCCTTTACCACGTACACACATCCTCAACCTGCCTTTCTCTATGCTGACTCACGTGGTCCAGTTCTGTAAGAGGAAGCTGGGTGGGACAGGACTCTGGGGAAATTTCCTCTCTAATAAAAGGAGTGTCAAACATAAAATGAGTCCTAGTTTTGCCCCCTTTACACCTTCTTATACTTAACTTGAAATGCAGTTGTGATGTATATGACCATTGGATTAGCACCTGCCATATAAGGAATTGGAATAATAATAATAATAATAATAATAATAATAAATGTACTTGTTATTAAAGCAACATTTTTCAGATTTTCTGTTACTGTTGTCTACCTACCATGTCTATGGCCAAAGTAGCTGATATCCAGGGAGCAGCTATTCAATGAGTGATATCAATGGGGGAAAAGAGGACCAATCTGAGAGTTGTTTTCTACTGTTACTGTACTTTGGAATGCCCTGGGAGCTAATACAAAATGCAGGTTTTCCACTTTTAACCTTTGAATTTTTTATTCAGAGGGTCTGAAGTTGGGTCCGGGAATCTGCATTTTTATTACCTTCACCAAGGTGATTCTGGTACACATGTTTGGTGGCTCACACTTTAAGAAATACTTCAGTATAAGCTTGAAACAAATTACGGAATAGTGGGTATGAGTGATTCATAGAGTGACGACTGGAGTGAGTAGAAACCATCCTCCCACCCCATTCCATATCCGTTCCCAACTAGAAGAATAAAACACGGAAATTACACCAAGGGCAGGGCTACCCTGTGGAGGCCATAGGTTACAGTGCTCTAAGAACACTTATACATTTTGGACAAGTTTTTGACTCTGTAAGTTCCCAAGATGAAAGAATGAGAAATTGAATACTCACATTTGCTTGGATGATAACGAAGTAGCGAGCCTTATCTTCATAGTTGAGCCTCTTCCTTAACACTACATTTCCAGTCAACATGAGGGGAATTTCAAAGGTGTCATTTGATGCCTGCAAATAGCAAAGATATAGACTTTAGGCCATTTGAGTATATAATGAACTAGAGAATTTGGTATTATAGTTCAGTCCCTTTGAAAATTACAGATAGCATGTTTATTATCTGAAAACAGAATGTCAGTGTCAGCTTCAGGTTTAATATTCTGATCATTTCTAAAAACTTTTCCTTTTGGTCAATAGGTTTCAATAGAGCCCTTTGCTAATAATAACCAGGTAACCTGCTTTCTATAATAGTTTCCTTGTTACCATATTATCATTCACCATTTGTTTTATCACCAAAGAATTCAAACATTGCAATCTGTGGTTTCTACATAATATCCTTTTTAAAATCAGTGCCCATTCTGTAGTCTCAGCATTTTCAAGTATTAAATGCAACTATTAACTTGAAACTGTGTTTTTGTGAAAAACAATCTGTGTTATAGGTCAGATTTTTTTCCGACCTCAGAACCACTGCTTATTAGTTAAGTCTCCTACACTGTCAGGAGTTAAACTTTTTCCAGGTAACAAGCAGTTCACAAGGACAATCTCTAAAATGCCTTCCAGCACTACTGTTCCTGTATAAGCAGTCCTACCTCA